TTTTCGATTTTAATTGGCTGAACAAATATGCATGATCGGGATCATCATTTCCTTATTTGGGACGTTCCTACCTGTAGCGTTAGATATTATTAATAATCGGAGATATCAAATTCTCATGTCAAATTTATGAGCAGAAGTTTGTCTGATTGGCTGGTATAAATCAATAGTCCGATAAACTAATATATCAGATATGTTAACGTTAAAACTAGGTTTAATCGGTTTTAACATATGAAAAATCAAATCGGTTCAAAACTCTAGTATATATCTAAATTTTAGATATATACTTTTTAATGTCATATCCAGATTATATCCAGATACACTGTAATTACACAAACTGAGAAGAATGGTTACAAATATTGCTTCTAGTTTCAAAGAGTGCTGGTATCTACTCGCTCTATATTAATAAAAAGTCATTTATATGAATATTTATATCCTTCGATTCATTCGACTCTATTTGATAGACCTCATGTCAACTTTGATGTTATATAACTCCAAAATTTTATTAAATAAATCAATATTAGCCTATTAAATAAAGGTATTCAGAAGATCAAAAAATATATATATTAAAAGCTTAAAATGAATTAAGTAACTTTTCATTAATATATTTTTATTTCTTATATCACACAAAATATTGAGAATTAGGTTGTAAATATTGGTTATGAACCAAACTTAGATTCGGAACTTATTATATATAAAAACTCGGTTCTTAAGTTTTTTAATTTGAAACCTAAAAGTTTTAGAACCTAAATCAAGCCCAAATTAACTTTACATCTCTAACTGTCCCTACATATCCATATTGTCGGCTTGTCGTTCGTAACTAATGACACTCATACATTTCCATTCTCCATTATGAGAAGCTTGAAAACATGGTAAGAACATAATTATCATTGTGCAAAAATGAAGATAATGGTTTCAAACGTTATATATAAAGAAACATACCTTTCCATAATCTAACCTTTCCATCATCTCCAGACGATGACAAGATGGTACCAGTTATATTCCATTCGACTTTCCAAACCTTAAAAAAATTTTTTTTAAAAAAATATACATATATATAAAATATAATATAATAACAAACATAACACATTTTAGGTTTTACAAATGTCCATACCTCAACACCGTGTTCAGAAAGCATGGCGATATTTTCTACGGAATAACCATCGGGTTTGTTTGTTAACTTGAAAATACCAACTTTATGATCTTTTGATGCAGTTGCGATGAGGTGATAACTCCTTAATGGATAGTAGGATTATTAAAGATATAAAATCGAAACTTAAAATATTTACTAGTGAGAACCTATGAGGTACCTTCCCATATTAGGGGCCCAACTAACGTCATGAATAGCATCTTCATGACCATGAAGGACCTCGAACGGTATCCATTTGTTATGTGGATTTGGTCTGAAAATCTAAAAGCCAACGTAAACGTGTCATTTAGGTTTCACTTCTTGCTCGTTAAGTTATAACTTTGATACTAACATAATGAAGATAATTTACAAAGTGTTATTACAAACTTTAGCACAATTCTCTTTTCCACAACCAACAACGATCATTGGTGATACTTGTGGTTTCCAGGGACACCAAGAAAGGCAATAGTTTCCGTCAGCCTCTTTATTAACAGTTCCAGGGGTAATAATCTCTACTTCCTCCATCATAGACCAATCAGCTAAATTATTCACTTCGAGAGCTTCGTATATTCTGAGTACACCATCAGCGGCAACAGTTGCCTATTAATTAATGATATTAAAATCATCGAAGAAATTTTAACTAAATGTTAAAGGTCTAAGGGATACATACTAATTTCAGACCCCAATTATTGGGCGCGAATTCAATGTCTTTTACAGAACCGCTACTATCTACTAAGCTCGCCTTCAAAGCCCATCGTTTACCACTATTTCTTGGCTCTGCGCATTAAAAAATATTAATAATCATTTGACTAATTTTAAGAAAAGAAGATAATTAAAACATACCGTGTTCTTGTTCCTCCCAAATGCGTACGGATCGGTCAAAAGAACAAGACGCTATTACTTGACCAAACTCGGGGTGGGCCCAACAAACTTTTAAAACCGAGCATTCGTGCGCCTATTAGTATAGAATAATCGCTAACATTGCCAAAGTTTAAAGCAATCCGACTGTACAATTCATTATTTGCGTTGGAGACAACATACTCTCCAGGTGTCAACAAGTTCCCAGCTGCTAGTATCTTGATTGAATTCCCATACTTTAATTTTTTGGTCAGAAGAACAGGTTGCAAGACGTTTACCATAAAAGTCGTAAGAAACATCGTGTATTAAATCGTCGTGGGAGCTGTCAAAAGCATACACTGCCATTTTATTATAATAACGATAATAATGATAAACAGATAATTATAAATTCGGGCATCAAATATACACTATTGTTTAGTATTGCCGACAATCAAACCCTAATTTTGATAAGCTGTATAGTCACGTGGGTAGCGCTTGGATGGCTTGGCTTGGCTCCTAAAGTCATGGCTCCAGCTTGAGCTATGACTATTGGGACTGTGGTTTGAGCCGTAACTTGAGC